ACACTGCTGGTGGGAATGCAAACTGGTGCATCCACTATGGAAAACAGTATAGAGATTTCTCAAAAAATTAAAAATAGAAATACCATATGATCCAGCTATCCCACTACTACTATTGGGTGTTTATCCAAAGATCATGAAATCAACAATTCAAAGAGATTTATGCACCCCTATGTTCCTTGCAGCATTCTTCACAATAGCCAAGATGTGGAAGCAACCCAAGTGCCCCTCGACGGATGAATGGATAAAGAAGATGTGGTACACACACACACACACACACACACACACACACACACACACAATGGAATACTACTCAGCCATAAAAAGACAAAAGTGTGTCATTTGTGACAACATGAATGGACCTTGAGGGTACTATGCCAAGCAAAGTAAGCCAGACAGAGAAAGACAAATACCGTATGATTTCACTCATATGTGGAAGATAAACAAACAAACAAACATATGGATAAGGAGAGCAGGTTGGTGGTTACCAGAGGGGAAAGGGGTGGGGGGAGGGCGAAAGGGATAAAGGGGCACATAAGTATGGTGACGGATAAAAACTAGACTATTGGTGGTGAACATGGTGCAGTCTACACAGAAACTGAAATATAATAATGTACACCTGAAATTTGCACAATGTTATAAGTCAATATGACCCCAGTAAAATAACTTAAAAAAAAAAAAAAACCCAACTTGGGAGTCATCCTTGATACCTTCGTCTCCCTCAAGCCCTCGCTCACAATTAAGCAGACACCAAGTCTAGTAGACTCTACCTTCAAAATGCCTCCCAAATCTATTGACTTCTCTCTTTGGCATTGCTGCTGAGCTGCAGGGCCCAGGTTCCCTCTCCTCTTGGGAACGACAGAGGTCTCGCCTCTTCTGCACCTTCCCCCAAGCTTGGGGAATGATCCTGTCTGGAGGAAATTTTTCCCCCCTCCTGTTTCTACAGAGCACAGTTTAATGCTGTGAATTCCTTTTGGGCTCTGGGTTTTAGAATTCAACACAGAAAGAATTTCAGGCTATGTGTTTCCCTCCAGGCTGAAATTAGAATCTTGAGGGCAGCAGGGAGGGCAGGCATGTGCATTGTTGCAAACCATCTCAAGTGATTCTGATGTGCAGCTCCAGTTAAGAGCCACTGCACAAGATGGTGAGCTATTTGAGTGTAGGAACTCTGTATTTGTGTTCAACTTTCTATTCATCAAAATACAACACGGCCAATACCTGATATAGAATGAGTGCTCAGTAAATGTTTAAGTGAGTACAAGAACTGGGAGAATGAGAGGGTTTGAGAGAAGTGAATGGAAGGGATCTTAGGAGTTACTTAGTACAATTTCCTTTACTTCTTCAGTTGTTTCAGTGTTGGGATGGATTGAGGCTCCCAGACATTCGTAGGATGTCATCTTTGGCCTAGTTATCCAGCCATCCTAGGTGTTTTGTAGCAAGGAGGGATTTCGGGTTATCTAGTCGTGACGTTTCCAGAAACAGAAATTATTTCTTTTTCCTTTTACAACTCCCATAGCACCAGGAAATTCCCAGAAGAAGAACGTGATGAAGGAAACCACTTTCCCTACATACACTTTTCATGGAACTGCCAATGAAGTAGTAGATGTGGCCAGAAGACACCACTTTCCCGGTATCTCCTGTGAACTCTTCTCTCATTGATCTCATTTTCACCTGTTTTCTTCTGCAGTTCCTTTCTGCTTGTGAGCTCACTTTCCATTTTCTCTCCACCTAGACTTGTTGGAAATGCAGGAGCCAGTGTTTCCCAACCTTCCCCACTCCAAATGTGTATGCATGTGTCTGTGCCTGCACGCACACACACATGCACTCCTGGAATCTTGAGGAACTTACTAAAGGAACTTAAAAGGCGAAGACATTATTATTATTATTATTATTATTATTATTATTATTATTAATTTTATATCTGAAATATAACATTTTGGACACATGGAGGTGCTCTAACCACAAAATTCCTGTCTATCACTGGAAAGGAGCAAGCAGTTTAGGATGGGCAGGGACCCACAAAATAAGTTATCTTCTCCCATATGCCTTAGGCCTAATGTATTTACAAAATAAAAGAGGCAGCTGTGGTGAGGCAGAAATAGTCCTGGACCCAGAGTTAAAAGAGCCAGGTTAGAGTACTGGCTCTGTCACTTGCTAAGCCTCAGTTCCCTCATCTGTAAAATGTAATGTAACCTCTGCTGCACAAGACTGGTTTAGGTACCCTTGTTCTGAGCACCCACAGAACCCTTGTGCTTACCTAGTATTACAGTTGTCTGTTGATATGTCTGTCTCCCATGGTGGAAGGCAATCTCCTTGAAGGCAGAAACTGTCTCACCCCGACTGTGCCTGCCCTCAGTGCACAGCAGAGTAGTCAGTGAATGTTGGTTGAGTGAATGAAGAACATTGGAAACTCACATATTTTCGTCTGTCCTCTTAAACTGTTATGTATCTAAAAGAATAATTCCTGTTTTACAATTATCAGTAGGCTACCAGGATAGTAAAAATCTATTTTTATTGTATACAAATTTGATGTATAGAAGTTCCAAATTAACGAGAGTTGATTCACTCACCGTGTTACCTAACAACTAGTTTTGGAAACTTGTTACATTCTCATAGCAGAATATTTCATTAAATTTTCTCCCCTGGCTATTCAGTTGATGATGTGTTCCCAGGACACGTGTTTCCTCAATAATAAGCCTTTACCTGTGTGCACCACCACTTTAAAGATTTGTTAAAAGACGTTTTCATGTGCACTGACTCATATGCTCCTCACGATAACCCCATGAGATAGGCCTGGAAAGTATTCTTGCTACCAGTTGACAGATGAAGAAACCAGTGTTCAGAGACATTAACTGAGTCACTACCTACCATACCAAAAGTGAGTTTGTGGCAGAGCTGGACTTAGAATGGAACCAAGTTTCTCATTCCCCAGTCTGGTGTTTTTTACACAATCCGTTAGTTCAACTCGCTTGCATTTTGTGATGCTGCTTCAATGACATTTTTGCATCTCATTCTATTCCTGCTTTCCAACTGCCCCTCCCACTACTTGCCTCGGCATACTCTGTGCTCAACCAGGGCCTCTCTCTCTCTTCCCTGAACATGTCCTCTTTCAATTTCCTGCCTCTGGATCTTTGCACCTGTTTCCACCTCTTGGTGGGCACTCCTCAACCCTCGCATCGCTGCCAGCTGAAGCCTTTGCCGATCGGCCCTGCCGGATGAGATCTCTCTGCCCTTGAACCCACAGAGCCATCTATGCATTGTTCTATAGGCATTTCCATACCTGCTTAATTCCCTTTGCTCTCGTAGTGTCCCTTGCTCTGTGCTCCCACCAGCCCCTGTGCTGTTTTCACAGTGCTTATTGCCCTATGTTGTAGGTCTGCTTTTGCCCCATGACTGTGAGCTCCTTGAGGACTGGGATCTTGTCTGATTCATCTCGGTGTCTCTAGCACCCAGCACAGAGCCGGGAACACAGTAGTTGCTCCAGAAAATGTTGGATGAATGAGTAGATGGATGAATGAGTACTACCTAGCACAACGCCTTGGATATACTAGTTGCAAAATAATAATGGATTAAATCGAAGCTTCACCCAAACCTCATTTCTTCTCATCCTATCCCAGTGGGGGCTGAAGGCATGCTTCATTCTGCCCCAGGCTGTCACTTCCACTCATGCTCTGGATTCCATCCCATCCTGCCTCCCCAGGTGCCTCACTCCATCAATTACCTCCTCTCTCCAGAATCTCTAATCTCTCCCTCTTTTCTGACTGGCTCCTTTCCCTGCAGTGACAAACATACTCGGGTCTCCCCTCTCTTTCTAAAAGTAAATATCCTCAATTGGATGGGTCTCCTTCTCCTCCTCCTCTTCCTCTACCTCACGGTATCAAGCTATGAGCCTCATTGTAAAGTTATCCAGCTGGGCCCTTTTTGGAGACACTTCAGTGTCAATATCCTTAGATATTTTTCTCTTGGGTGGTCAGACGGCCCACAGAAGGCTCTTCCAGCTGCCAGAATCTTACGGCCGGAGTCAGAGAAGACTCTGTATGTATGTATGCTTCCAGGATGCATACTTCCATTTAACCCCTCTGTTTTCAATATGAGACTCCAGCCCTCAGCTGGGTTTTGGGACTCCCAGTCCAGAGCCCCTCTGCTTTACCCTCCCAGGGAATAACTCTCCAGACTTCTGTGAGGGCAGGGAAGGGCCAGCCCCACAGTGCAGTCAGGCCTTCACTGCAGGAGGGGATGTGGAAACGAATCTACTTCTTAAACAGTTTTCAAACAACCCTCATCATTTGGGTGCCCACCTCCCTTCACCTCCACTTCCAAAGCTACCTGTTGCAGCCTTTGAAGATTCTTGTGAGGGGTGGAAGGGGAGTAGTAAATCAGGTTGGTTTTTGGCTTTTCCCACTAAGGGCTTAGGATTCCTAGTTTGTGGCCTTCTTGGGTCTGCTAAGTCAATTACTACGCACCCATCTGCTTTCCAGGTTTCAAAATTTAGTTGTCATCTCCTTTCAAATATCATTTTATAGTAGTTCCAGTGGTATTTTGGGACGTGGTGAAGTTAGATGTGACGTAGGTGCTCCACCTTAACTATGTATCATCACAGGCATGGATGTTTGCCTGCCTGCCTCATTCACCCTACGCACCTTTGTTACCAAGACACTCTCCCTAAAACACTGCAGACTCAGCTTGTCTCATCAGGCTGTCTGATCCATTCTCTGACCATTCTGCTCTTTCAGCTCTCAGCCCGGGACTACCTACCGGAAACCAACTTCCTATGGATAAACCCTCAGGCTGTGCTTCAAGTTCAGATGCCTTGCCAATATGTCAGTGCTTTATGACCTGTCTACGCTCTCTGACCCCTAGCATTTCCACATACTTTTCCAATTCTGACTCCCATAACTTTGCTCTTTGCTCCTTCTCTCTAAGTAGAATGTTGATTTCTGTCAAGCACATAGGCTAGCCCTGGTCCTTCCTATTTGCTCAAATAACAATATTGATGACAATGATAAACAACTACTGAGTATTTATTATGTGCTGCTCACTGTGGTAGACACTTTATACACATGATCTCATTTCATTCTTCATCACAGCTTTATCAGGTAGATGGTAATTATTAGCCCCACTTTGCAGATGAGGCAACAGAGGCTCAAAGAGGGAAAGTGGCTTCTTGAAATTCACCAGGCTAGTAAGAGGTAGAGATGGAATCCAAGCCCAGGTCGGTCCAAGTCCATGCTCTTCCTATGATACTATGCTGCCTCAGTCAAGGCATCAGAGAGGGAGCTAGAAAGCAGAAGGTGAGAGGATATTGAGTACCTGAATTGGAGGAAGTGGCCACCTCAGTGAGGCAAAGGGTAGACAATGGAGAAAGATGGGGCTAACAGAGAAAAACCTTTGCCGACTTCACAGGTTTGCATAGCATTGACCCTTGTGATCTTCACTTGTGCACAGGATAAATTACCATGCCTATGCACCCACACAGAAAATAACTTAGAATACCACTATTAATCCATATGATACACACCGACGTGGCTTAAGATGATTTATCACAATTGTAAGGAATGCTTGATTATTTTTTTCCAGAAAGGAAGCTTGGATTCCATTAATCAAGCTAAGACCTTATTCTGCTTCATAGCCTGGCACAAAAACAGACAGTCATAACAATAAGCCTAAATCATTGAGAAATCACGCAGTCATATTTTGCAAACTCAATTTAGGGAATCAGGGAAAAGTAAAATCCACACGGGAAAGATTTCCATTGACTTCCCATTCAAGATTTTACAGTGAGTTCTTGCTATGGATAGCCCGTTGCTCCAAACACACAACAATGATGGACAAAATACAAAAAGGTAGAATCAAAAAGGAATGGCCAAGACAAAAAAAAAAAAAAAAAAAGAGATGATTGTCTCTGTGTTGAAATGACAGGCTTGCTGGACTGGAAGCAAACAATGTTAGCCAGAAGTTAAGCTCCTGCAGGGTATAAACGTCCAAAAGCACTCTCAGCAAGATGGAGGACAAAAGCCAGGCTCACAGCTTAAAGCCAAGGACTAGGATGGAACTACCCTCAAGCCCACCAACCCTTGAATGTAAATCTGAAAAAAAAAAAAACCCCTACTACCAAATCTGCCAGAGTCTTTGGCTCTGGTGAGCTGCAGGAGGTGAGGACACAGACACAGCCGGATCTCACAACTAGAAGCTGAGCTAAGCCACCAGCTGGCTCTGTGAGTGGATCTCCAATATGCCCAAGAGCTCCCTGAGGCAGCGATATGAATACATCCTGTAAAATAGTTTTGACCCTAACAACTGACTGGTAGTTTACAAGAGTGCAGTAAGAAGGGAAAATGCTGAACAGATTGATTTCCTTCTATCATCAAGTTTCCACCTTTGGAAGAGGTAAAATTAGAGAAGGTGGAAAACACTTTTTAGAAAGTGAGGGGTTTTTTGTGGACGTTTGCAAACTATTTGCAAAACAAATCTAGATATTCTCATGATTCTTTTAAGATTTTGTAGGAAGGACTGTGAAAGTAGGGATGATGATCATTGTCTTTGTTAAAGCAGCCAGACCTTGTAAGTATGGAAAAGGGGGTTGGAATTAACATTTATTGAGCAATATGGCATATTAGTTAAAACACTGTTTCTATGGCCAGATTGTCGAGGTTGTAATCCAGTCTCTGACACTTAGTTAGCTATGTGCTCCCGGGTCAGCTGCTTAATTTCTTATTGTCTCTATTTCTTCTTTTATAAAATGGGCATAGTGTTGCTATAGGGGTTTAAAGCACTTAGAACAGTGTGTAGCACATAGAAAGCACTATGTAGGAGTTAGCTATTATTATTGGTCATCATTATGTGCTGCAAACATCTTATGTAAGAGTAAACAAATTTGTTAGAAAAGTCTGTGAGGAAGGTATTTTCCTTACTGTGCCCATATGAGAAAACTTAAGCTATGAGAGGTCAAATAAAATTACAGAGTGGCAGAGCCTATAGATGCTGCCTAGTCCAAGGCTTCCATTTTAAACTGTAGAAGAGAAAACTGAAGAGCCCATTGTAACTCAAAACAGGAGAGGGACATGCCTCAAGTCATTTAGTGAGTCAGTAGCATAACTGGGCCTAGAAGTCAGCATCAGGGCTCTTCCTTCAGTGGGTCTCAAACTTTGGCAGGCATCAGAATCTCCTGGAGGGCTTGCTAAAATACAAACTGCTGGGTTCCCCCTCCAGAGCTTCTGATTTATGAAGTCTGGGGTGGGTCCTGAGATTTTTCATTTCTAACAAGTTCTCAAATGATGCTGATGCTGCTGGTCTGGGGACACTACTTTGGGATCCACCACAACACACTATAGTTCATACATTTTTTTTCCTTTTCATCATGGACTACCCAAGTTATGATTCACAAGTAGTTGGACAGAAATGGGAAGCAGTGATGAAAACTAAATACACAGACGGCAGCAAAAAGGTAGGGTGTCCAGCAGTCCTGGTTTATGTGGGACTTCCCCAGTTTTAAAACTGTAAGTTCTGCAGCCCAGGAAACCTCTCAATCCTGGGCACACTTGGATGGTTGGCCACTCTAGATGAAGGTAAACAAAATTCAGTGCTAGTTAACTGCCAAACACAAAAGGGCATACTTATAGAGAATGTGGCAATTTCTGGTGAGTTTGTTTGGAAAATGATTCATTAATTTACTCTTATTCCAACAAATTTGTATTATGAAACACTATGTTAGGTGCTGTGCTCCTAACCCTACTGATCCTATCCACCACTGCAAAAGGTAAAAGTGACTTTACAGTGAGCTTGGTAGACATAGACCTGTGCTTACATTCTCAAGGACACAAGAAAGAGATGTGAAAAAAGAAACGTCTCACATAGAAAGTTTTTAATGCTCCATGAAGAGGACTCAAATAATTCCCTTCCCTGTTTCTTCCTCTGAAGGGAATACATTGTACAAAAGTATTGATTGAAAATTCAGGAAAGCGAGGGTGAAATAATTAACGAATCAAGGTCCCAGGGGAGCCAGAAGGTGGAGAGAGTCTTTCAGTAAGAGAGAAGATTGATCTGTGTCCTTATCTCTCCAGGGTCATGAATATGTCCTTTGCTTGTCATAAAATCAATGCTGACCTCAGTTATAGTATAATTTTCAAGGCTAATTTAGTCAAAATTTCAAAAAAGGTAAACATCCTTATGAAGACTAATGGTGACATATTTTAGGAGTACATAATAGTAGAGAGAAAAGATTGCCTATTAAAATGTTACTGCTTTTCTGATTGCTAATGGATATACTCTTTAAGACCTGAACTTAATTATCAATCCTTTGACCTAAGAGGAAAAAGAATTTCATGGAGGATCCCTGAAGATTCCTATATAGTACAAATAAAATGTAGAAATATTCTGAGAACATACTTTGGAGCACTAGATGGTCAATAAAATAATGCATAAACTACTAAATGTGAACTAGGAACTCCTTAAAAACGTCATATTAGGCTTCATTCTCTGTCAGAGTACTGAGTTTTCTTTGCTTTGTGACTCCTATCCTCACTAGTAATGCTTTTTTTCCACTCTTGTGCACATCCTATCCTGGATCCTCTTTCATCATTCCACAGTGGTCAATGTGGTTATTGTACAGCTTCACTTTCTATGACAGCCAGGGGAAAATAAGCCTCATATCTATCATCTCGATCTCTCTCTCTTCTCTCTCTCTCCATATATAAAGGAAGCCATTAAAAAATAAAAGAAACATGGTATTATATTTAACGCAGTCAATCTTGGCAATTAACATGTATAATATTTTAAGAGAGGAAAAAAACCAAAAAAAAGATCAGCAGAAATGGAGGAAAACAGATTGCATCCCAAATTTCATCAAAAGCCAAACTGTAAGTTTGGATAGTAATCTCCAGTTCTTTGGAGGCACATCATCTATCATGATGAGTTCCCTCAACAACCTTACAGGCTAACCCTCTGCACTCTCTCATGGGGTGTCTGTGTGTGTGTGTGCATGTGTGTGTGTGTGTGTGTATGTATGAACTGTCATATGGAACCTCAGAAGTCTCTAAAAACTTTCTGCAATTAATGCCTCACAGAGCTACCGAACTGATGGGTTTGTTCCATAGGAGCTATTGTGACTTCCTAGTTTAGTTCCTTGAGACATGACTTGGGTGGAGATAACCCTTCTCACAAGATAAAACACTATGTGTTCAGTTCCCACCTTATCACTGAGCTTGTGTTATCAAACAGTTCCTACAATATCTGTAGTTCTAGGAGACTGTAGAGAAAAATCTAGGGTTTCAGCTAAAGTCTTTAATCCACAGGCCTATGTAAAAGACTGTCCCAAGGTATCCTCTAGCCCATTGGTTCTCAAAGTGTGGTCTGAAGACAACTGGAGGGGTCCCTGATACCCTTTTATTGGGTCTGTGGGTTAAAAACTATTTTTTATAATAACACTAAGATGACACTTGCCTTTTTTACTCTCATTATCTCATGAATCTACAGAAGACTTTTCCAGAGGCTACATGACATGTGATGTCATCTCTCTGATAGCTGAAGGATGCGCGCTTTTGTGTTCTTGAATTTTAAACATTTCTCAGTCTTAATACTGAATACAATTAGGTATCAATAGATATAACCTGCACTCAAGAACTCTTTGGAGTCCTCAATAACTTTTAAGAGTGTTAAGGTGTCCTAAGGCCAAAAATTTTGTGAATCTTGGAATGCATTTCTTTTTAACTGATCTAGTTGCAAGAAATTTTTACTTAGTGAATATTGTTTCCCTATCAATGTGGAGATTATATTTCTGAAGTAGACTGGCCAAGATTATACCAAAAGTTCTGAAAAACAAATGAGCCCATGTTATAACTTGGAGAAGAGAGCTATCATACTACAGGCCTCTTTCCAACAGGTTTCTCCTACTAGATAAAGGGGTGGCTTCTGCTTTGTGTGATGGGGTAAGGAGGTAATTTTAAGTATGTTTTGCCACATTATTCTGCTGATATGAAATTCTGGTAGCCAGGGTGCCAGGTGTGTTCATAATCCCAATGCTGTCAATTTTAAGCCTGAAGCCCCAAGAGACGAGCAGTGTTTAATACGTCATCCCTTGTTAAATAGCAGCCACAGAGTTGGCGGTAGCCAGTGAAGGATTCCCTGCCATGTAGGACACGCCAATTGTCTATAAATAGGACCTGTAAATGGGCAAAAAGAGAGAAAAAACACCATCAGAACAAGGGCAGACCAAAGGAGCCCTAAATCAGAAGAGATCATTCAAAAGGAAAACTTTAGGTTGTTCCCTGGTTACATTCAATGAAGTATTTTTATTTTGAGATTAAACAAACATTTGGAAACTAGGATGTGCATAGCCCTGTAGGAGGCTAAATGGAATTTACAAAGGCAACAGTAGGTAATAGACCTTGCACTTGAGGAGCTTATGCTTCTTGAGTAATTGTTTTCTTATCAAAGCAAATAAGATAATTGGTTTTCTTTTTTAAATTCTTATATACTTTCTCAAAGGGTTAAACTATTTCATTATATTTTATGCTAAGCTGAAGATATTTTCCATCCAGAGGAAATATCAGGAGCAAAAAAAAAAAGAAGGAATTATAAAGCTGGAAGGACCCTTAGGGACTATTCCCTTCATCATACAAATAGAGTCACTGAGTCACTGATGCCTAGATACAGGGTGGGGTCTGCTTCCAGGTCATTCAGTGAGTGAGTGGCAAGACCAGGACCAACACCCAGGACTCTTTTCTCTTTTTCCTTTGCAAGATAGTGACTCATATATTATATAAGTACCCATTCTTCACTCCTTCAGTATAACAAGCTTACTTGATATCTTTCGAGTTTGGCACCTACCCTGCCAGGCTTTAGTTTGACCCAAAACTCATTCTCAGGTCTCCTCAACTCTATTGTTAGAGTCCGATGTGCTGTATACCAACGATGGACAACATCATAAGGTACGGTATTGATGACAGCCCGGTCATAGTTGTTGTACCTAAAATGAAATCATGAGAAATAAAGACCTCCTCAAACACATGTCAAAGACATCTGTTGTTTATTGAGCAGTTTTATAGATGGCTTTCCCTATATTCATTACTTGTCTCAGAAATGAGGTAACAATAATAAATTAATGTACTCTCAGGACTAGAAGACTGTAGAGAGGAGCTCCACTGCCTGCTGACCATATTTTGTTTTTCTTTAGAGAATCTGGGGGTAGGGGATAGAGGTAAATTCTAGCTGGTTTCTCCCATCTTAGGATATGATATTTTATCTAAAGCACATTCCCTTGGCCAAATTTCATAGAAGCACTGGAGAAAGATCCGAGTTTTCTCTTCACCAAGCTGAGGTGGGCAAGAAAGGTTGTACTAACAAGGCTTTCTTTTTAACAGGATGACTTACAGCTTTTCAGGTGTTTCTCTTTTCGGGAGAAATCCCAGCTACAGCCTAGTAGATAGTTTACCCAGGGGTATTCATTCATCCAAACCTAACATTTATATGAAGACTTGCTATGTGCTAGGTGGTGTGTCAACATGATTCAAGCCTATGGGGAGTTTACATTCTATTGAGAAAGACAGATGATGAACAATAAATACACAACTAGTTACAGGTGCTATGAAGAAAAAAATAATGTTACATGATAAAAAGTGACTAAAGTCTAGTTCAGATGGAGTGTTGAATGAAGGACTTTTTTGAAGAAGTAATATTTGAGCTGGTACCTGTATGATAAGAAAATAGCAATGTGCCAAGCTGAGGGAAGAGTGTTCCAGGCAGAGGGAACAGCAAGTAAAAGTCTTAGGGTAGAAAGACATTTTATCATGTTTGCAGAACAGCAAGAAGGCCATGTAGTTGGAGCTGAGTAAGCAAGGGGAATAATGGTAAGAAATGATATGGAAGAGGTAGCCATGGGCCAGATCATGTATAGCCTTGTAGGCCTTGGTAAGGACTTTGGATTCTATTCTGAGTACTATGAGAAGAGACTGAAAACCCTTTGTTCAGATACTGGATTTCTTTTTTACCTAAAGCAAATTAACTTTCTACTGAAGTACAGTATATATACAGAAATGTACACAAATCATAAGCTTGATGAATTTTCATGATGTGAACACATCCATATTACTAGCATCCAGGTAAATAAATAGATCATTACCCAAACCCCAGAACATTTCCTTGCTCCCCTCTCCCATCTTGTCCCTCTCCTAACCCAAGAATAACTACCATTGTGACTTCTGTCACCAAAGATCAGTTTTGCTTGTTTATAAAACTTTATATAAATGGAATACTACAGTATGTACTCTTTTTTGCTTAGCTTCTTTCATTTAATATTATATTTAGGAGATACATCATTGTTGTGCTGTGTAGCAGTAGTTCATTCATCCTTAGTGCTATATAGAATTTCATTGTGTGACTATACCATAATTTATTCATCCATTCTACTGTTGATGGACATTTGAGTAGTTTCCAGTTTGGGTCTATTACAAATAGTGCTGGAGGTTCTGGTCCATGATGGCAACATAGGAGGCTCCTGAACTCACCTCCTTCCATGGACACACCAAATCTACAGCTACACATGGAACAATTCCCTCTGAACGAAATCTAGAAACTAGCTTAGTGACTCCTACACTTTGGGTAAATGAGTAAAAATCGACATCAAAATGGGCAGGAAAAGCTGTCACAATCTTTCCATAAACCTCACCCCTGTTGCAGTGACATACAATCAGGAGAAAATTCACACACAACTAGCTTCTCCCTCAAGAGTAAAGAATTTGGACCCAACATCTAGTGCCTCAACTTTTAAGTCTTCCACCTGAGAGACAGGACCCCAAAACACCTAGCCTTGAAAGACAATGAGACTTGAATCCCCAAGATCCAACAGACTATAGCAAACAAAGAAACAGTTCTTAATGGGCTTGTGAGGACTCATATAGTTATACCCCGAGGCCTAGCACAGAGACAGCAGAGAGAAACACCCAACTCTCAGCCTTTCCCTAAATGAGGCCTATTTGCATGCTTTAAAAGCTGCCGCATTATGGTGAGTCTTCTAATTTAGCACACATCTAGGGACAGACTGTGATTCTCCCTGAACATGGGGAAGGCCAGTGGGCACCATCTCTGCATTCTTCCTCTGGCCCACTCCAAGTCACCAGTGTCTCCCTAAAATGAGCTTGCACACAAGATTGGTGCTTTTGTGGCTGCTGCCCAGGGGACACACCCCTTGACTGCCTGGCTCTGGTAGCCAGGGCTTGAGTTCCAGATTTCACAGGACAGTAGGAAACACAGAAACACTTCTTAACTGGCTTTCCCCCCAGGGCTCAGTGCAGAGGGAGCAGAGAGAAACACCCAGCTCCCAGACTTTCTTTCCCTTAAAGAGGTCTACTTGCATACTTTCAAAGCTGCTGCCTGAGGCTCTGGTTTCCAATCAGCCTGAATCAAGGTGCTGACTGAGATTCTCCCCTTTGGGATGCTGATAGGTCTTGACACACCTCCAACTACTGGCAGCCACTAAGAACAAAGAAGGCTGGTGGGACAATCAGAAAGGTTTGAGAGACGACCAAGAGCTAGGGCAAAGTTGAAAGATAGGGTTCATCTCCTACATGAGTCTACTCCTTCAAGACTGGGAGAGGTGGCTGTTTTATCTAACGCATAGAGGCCAACACAGAGAGTCAAGGAAAATAAAGAAACAGGAATATGTTCTAAACAAAAGAACAAGATAAAGCTCCAGAAACAGATCTTAATGAAATGGAGATAAATGATTTATCTGATAAGGAGTTCAAACTAATGGTCAAAAGTTGCCTGCCAAGGTAAGAAGAATAATGCATGACAAAATGAGCATTTCAACAAAGATACAGAAAAAATAAAAAATTACCCAATGAACCATAGAGCTGAAGAATACAATAATTGAACTGAAAAAGTCAACAGAAAAGTTCAACAGCAGACTAGATAATGTGAAAGAAAGTATCAAGTGAATTTGAAGACAGAGAAGTGGGATTCATCTAATCAAAGGAGCAAAAAAAAAAAAAATAATGAAAAAGAGTGAAGACAGTTTAAGGGAATTATGGGACACCATCAAGCAAACTAGTATTTGCATCATAGGGCTCCCAGAAGGAAAAGAGAGAAAGAAAGGGGTAGAAAGCTTATTCGAAGTAATAATGGCTGGAATATTCCCTAACCTGGGGAAGGAAACAGACATCTAGATCCAGGAAGCTCAGAGAGTTCCAAATAAAAGGAACTCAAAGAGACTCACATCAAGACACACTGTAATTAAAATGTAATTAAAATGTCAAAAGTTAAAGATAAGGAGACAATATCTTAAAAGCAGTAAAAGAAAAATAACTTGTTATGTATAAGGGAAACCCCATAAGACTATCAACAGACTTTTCAGCAGAACCTTTGCAGGCCAGAGGGGAGTGGCATGATATATTCAAAGTGCTGAATGAAAAGCTGCCAGCCAACAATACTCTACCCAGCAAAGCTGTCATTCAGAAGTGAAGGAGAGAGAGAGTTTACAGACAAGCAAAAACTATAGGAGTTCATCACTACCAGACCAGCCTTACAAGAAATGTTAAAGGGACTTCTATAAGCTGAAAGGGGGAAATGGCACTAGTTAGGAACAACAAAGTTAAAAATACAGTTAAATTCAGAATACTCTAATGTAATGGTGGTGGGTAATCACTTATAAAGCTAGTATGAAGGTTAAAAGACAAAAGCAGTAATAACTATAACTCTAATAATTTGTTAATTGATACACAAGGTAAAAAGATGTAAACTGTGACATCAAAAACATCATACATAGGGAGGAGAGTAAAAACATGGAACTTTAGTGCATGTTTGAACTTAAGTTGTCAGTTTAAAACAGATTGTTATAAATATGTTTTATATAAGCCTCATGGTAACCACAAAGCAAAAACCTATAATAGATACACAAAAGATAAAGGATTCTAAGCATATCACTACAAAAAATCATCAAATCAAAAAAGAAGAGACAAAGAGAAGAAGAAAGAAACAAAGGAATTACAAAAGAACCAGAAAACAATGAACAAAATGGCAATAGTAAGTTCATATCTATCAATAATTACTTTAAATAAAATGGACTAAATTCTCCAATCAAAAGACATAGAGTGGTTGAATGGGTTAAAAAAACAAGACCTAACTACATGCTGCCTACAAGAGACTCACTTCAGTTTTAGGACATACACAGACTGAAAGTGAAGGGATAGAAAAAGATAGTCCATGCAAATGGAAGCCAAAAGAAAGCAGGAGTAGCTATACTTATATCACAAAAAATAGACTTTAAGGCAAAGACTGTAATACTCTTATTAAAGGAGGTCATTATATAATGATAGAAGGATCAATCCAACAATAAGATATAACATTTGTAAATATTTATGCACCCAACATAGGAGCACCTAAATATAAAGCAAATATTAACAGGCCTACAGGAAGAAATAGACAAAAATACAACAATAGTAGGGGACTTCAATACCCCACTTTCAAACAGTGGATAGGTAATCCAAAAGAAAATCAATATGGACACCCTGGACTTAAATGACACATTAGACCAATAGACTTAACAGACATTTACAGAACATTCCATCCAACAGCAGCAGAATACACATTCTTCTCAAGTGCACATGGAACATTCTCCAGGATAAATTATATGTTAGGTCACAAAAGAAATCTCAGCAAATTTTAAAAGACTGAAATCATACGAAGCCTATTTTCTGACCACAATGGTATGAAACTAGAAATCAATTACAAGATGAAAACTGGAAAATTCACAAATGTGTGGAGATTAAACAACATGTTATTGAACAAACAATGGGTCAATAAATCAAAAGAGAAATAAAAAAATATCTTGAGACAAATGAAAAGGGAAACACAACATACCAAATCTTATGGGATGCAGCAAAAGCAGTTCTAAGAGGGACATTCATGGCAATAAGAGACAAGAAAGATCTCAAATAAACAACCTAACTTTACACCTCAAGGAACAAGACA